GGCCCGAGCCTTGCAGATTCGTGCATTCACCTCATCTGTCACACTGCAATCAGAACTAATACAACTTCCAAGGTACGTAAAACGCTCCACAACTTCCAGTACCTCTCCCTGGATTGTAAGGGGCGTGTTCAGTGACTGCACGTCCACAAGCATGACCTTACACTTTGTGGGTGCAAAGTGCATACCAAAGGACGGGATGATTTTGGTCAGTTCATCCAAAAATACTTGCGCCTTCTCCTCCTCTTCGAACACGCGAAAGATTTCTTAACTTCCACCGGGGACTAATGCATGGCACTTCTCTTCCGACTTGGTTATCGACTCCAGGCCCCAGTGTCTTAAAAAGGATAGCACGTTCTTCTAAATATGATCACTTAGTGGAGGAGGTGGAACTTGTTAATTGTAACCCGCACTATACTTGCGTTCGTTTCCAGAACGGAGAGGAAAAAACCGTTTCTCCTAAACATCTGGAATTCAAAGCACAAAATATCTCCAATGTCTGTTTAACCGAATCACTCGAAGGTGTAGCGGCTCCTCAATTTGAGGCTTAGTCACACTCGATTAATCCTCCTGGAGACGAAACTGCACCACCAGAACAACTCAGTGAAATTCCAGAGAATGTCCTACAGTACATCACAGACCAACAATGTGTTCTACCATATAATCTTGGGAACCGGGAAGCCTGATCTATATTCTCCTGACAATAACCCCTCCGGCAGGGAAGAATATTATATACTAACATGTTTAACTGTTTACTTGCTATTCATTAAACTGTTTCCTAGTTTTTTTAGTTGACTGTACCTAACTAAATTCCGGTAAACAGGCGCTGTGCGGTAGTCTGCATCAACACAGGTTGATGCGGTAAACGGTGTTTATTTGTCTTATCAGCGTACGCCCCATCAGAGTGCAGTTCTGTGACTAAGGACGGGTTTTATTAAGATCTATCGTGACTGTTTTGGTCAGCAAGAAGGATGTGCATAATAATTCTTGCGGGTGATATGAATGTCCAGGTGGGCCGACCAAGTCCGGAAGAAGCACAGTTAGGCAGCAGACTCCAAGTCGGTGGTGAGCGTACGGATAATGGGGAGCGACTGCTTCCGTTGTGTACAGGTCATCGTTTTTTCCTGACTTCCAACACATCGAGACACACCAACCGCAAGACGGTCATGGAGTCAAGTGGACCATGTAGCTGTTAGTTACAGATTGAGAGCCTAAATTGTGCATTGTCATTCATTCTAGGGTACGAAACCTGACTCTGATCATGCCATTGTGCGAGCCCGGTTAGGAGTTCGCTTTCCGTCAGTATAACGCGTTCCAAAGCAGTGTAGTTCAATTCATCATCGACAAGTTTCAGTAGCTCAAGAGTGGTGAGTTGATCTGGTTCGAGGGCTGCTGGTAAAGCACACTCGTGAGGATGACGAAGATTGATTGGGGGTTGAATGGGAGTGGGTTGAAAAAAGCTATGCTATCGGCTTTCAGAAATGTCCAAGCTGCTTGCCTCGACTAAATGAACATTGGATATCGTCGAGATCAGCAGATCTTATTGTTTTCAGAAAGGCCAACTGGCGACTGTGATGGCACACTTAGATCTCTCAAACACCAGATAATCAGGAGTTTGAAGAATGCCGGAGAACGCTTTTGAAGGTCAAGGAGATGGAGAAAGCTTTCTCTGCAGGCAGTAGTAGCGCCCTATATCAGTCGATTCAATCAACCGGTCAAAAGAAGACAAAAACTCGCGCTATCTCACCCTCTCCGGCCAAATAGTCCTGGCTCTTACAAACTCATACAGGTCAAATTTTGCCACTGGCGCTTAAGAATATCCATCCGTCAACTCGAGCGCCTTGAACCGGAAGATCCGCCACTCAAATCCTATTAAAGCGATCTTGTATTTCACCATCCCGTTGAACATAACGGTTAGGCACCCAAACTATTCAACAAGACCTTTTAATTGACGTTCACTGTTGACCTGGTGTGCTCATCGAAGGATATCTTGCTGATTAGTTCTCTGTCTGCCTCAGAACTCGGTCAAATTTGTAACATGCTTACTTTGCTTGACGAAGCTTTTCTGTCTAAAGCGAAATGCGCCCAGCTCTAAATCCACTGAGTGTTTACCAAACCCTTCTGTAGCGATTACTTCTCAATCGGTTCCAAACTTCTCTCAATTGATTGGAAACATGGAAGTCTGATTCGGCCAAAGGCATTTGTTTCCAGGAATTACTTTTGTTATTCACCACTGGTTGCAGATTAAATCGTTGGATTCATCAATCCTATTGAGCGTATAGCTAATATTGCCTGTGTGCCTCTGAGGTTTATCAATTCATCATTCACGGACACAGGGTTTGCGTTGGCCCTTCGGTAGCTTTCAAATATCATGTCAAGCTACCTAATTATTCACAATTCGACTCTGGCGTGCAATGTTGCTGAAGTAGGTTGTCACTATTTCAATGACTGGTATTTCTGGACTTGAAAGTCGGCTTGACCGTTTCCGGGTATCATCAATGAAACCAAATAAACAATGAAGCTCTCTAAGTGAACCTGTTTAGGTGTGGGCACCATGGCAGTATCTCACCCCACGTACAGCCAGTTACACGGCAGTGAAGCATCAGTGTTGGGCACTGATGTCATGCTGTCGATGCTGATGAATAAGAAGAAGAAGCTTAGCATGCTTTCACTCAGTTTATAACTTGAAAGTAATGTAACCCACAGCCTTACCTATTAATTCCCACTTTTGTTTCGGTCTGCACCATCTTTTTGTTTCTCTTTAGGTTTCACGTGTTTCTGCCTACGGCACCAGGATGCGTGCGGTTGCCGTGATGTTGACCTTATGTTTATCTTGCATGTCACCAGGTCTGGCGTCCTCCGGAGATCGTTCTTATGTCTTTTTCATGTGTAACAGAAGGTGTCTGAGCAGTCTGTGTAATCGGTCAAATAATGCAGGTTCACCGGATTGGAATAAGGTTCACCCAGTCGGCATGCTTGAAGATACCATTCGCTGGAATTGCCCTAGAGAGTGCAGATATCGTTGCATGTGGAAAACGGTTGAGGCGTTTGTGTCGGATGGCCTGCCCACTCCACAGTTTTATGGCAAGGTAACATACTTCGGTATTTGTGTTCCAACCGTTTTAGTGGCCTTTCTTACGGCTGCTGGGAATACAAGAGCCGGCTTCTGCACTGTTTTCAGCACTGAACTTACTCCTACAATTTCGTTATCTTGCACTGTTGTGCCTGCAATTCGACAATCGCCTTCCGATGTTCAAATACTGGATAGCACAGTATTTGGTGAGCTGAAAAATATAATTATGTCTAATTTGGAATTCTAGGGTTCCATAAACGCCTGGTTATGGTCAGCTGTATTTCATACTTGTGATGTACCGTTCACTGAGGTGAATTCTTTGGTATTCTAATCACGGAAACTCTCCTCCATGTAGAAAATGGATTATTTTAGCGCGACGGCCTTCGTTATGGCCTCAATAATAACACTTCAGAGACGGGTATTCCCCCAACATCCCTTGCTGAACTACGCGCTACCGTTGATGGTGATGGGAATTTTCTTGCGACATGTGAATTATATGCTTGTCCGTGAATTTAACTACACATACAATATGATGTTCGGCGTTACCTTTGGTGAGTTACTGGTTTTACGATTGGATCAGAGTTTCTGGAGTTGTGGATTGACGCTATTATGGCAGGTCAAATGTCCACATCTTTCTTTTGTGACACTCGAGATACAGCTGTCGTGTAGTCGGACAAATACTTTCGTGCATAGACGAGAACAGTAGCTCATGCCCTATCAGGTAACACTTGTTGAACCTCTCTTTTGACACAACAGGACAGAGCTGACTTAGCAGGTGCAGTTGCCGTGTTCGTTGTATGGAACTGAGCATTGTCATGTCAACTGTCTGCGTGAGCAAGTGTCGCACTTGAGTGCACGTGGTGTGCTAGGTTTAAGACTGAAAATTTGCTGCTTACTAGAAAACAGTATTCCTTCCTAGTCACCATCAGACCCCCTTGTTTGATTAAATTGCGTTTTAGTAGTGAATGATCTGTACGTGGCAAATGTCAACCATAGCATCAAAATCTGCTACCTCCCGGATGTACAGGGGCTGCAAATTCTACCTCTGTCGAAAGCCGGGCGACACATGAACCAGACACCTATGAAGGTAAATACCGTACGTTAGATTCGTAGGCAGAGCTGGCTCAGTTTACAACAGACGAGGGCAAAAGAGAGGTACAAATGTAACAGTTTGACTAGCTATACATTTAAGGCATAACACTGGTCGATGGGGTAAGCATATTTCTCACGTATGTTTGTGGGGAGACCATTTGGATTCTCGTTATCTTGCGAGATGGTCCAAATGGTTAGAGCGCGAATTTACTGACCGGAAGGTCCGCGGTTCGAATCCGACCTCCGCCACTCGACTTCCCTTGTCTAGGCTTGGGCAACCTGGCAGTATCCCAGCCCTCGTGCTCCCTTCGCGTGGCATGGCAGCCAGGCACCGAAAGGGTGCTACAGCTGAACGCTTTCTATCTTGCTCATCTGTAATTCTCTGAACTTGACACTTGAAACTCAAAGATTTCTCTAAGAAGGCTTTAATATCACGTAATGATCACGACACCAGCTTTCTGAACTATTTTGGTGAGTTAAACCTCCCGTCACGATGCCTCTTTGCATGGTGTTTATAAAGTGTATAGCTGCCCCGCAATCCTCGCACGAGTTCTGATGAACTGGATGTAGCTCGAAGATGAAGTTTCTCCTGAAACGCTAATCATTTGAAGCCAAACGTTTTGTTGTTAATATTTAAGGTGGGTCAGAATGACGTTACGTATTTTGCTTTTTTCTGGTCGCACCACTACTATCAGTCTGGAGAGTGAACGATTTAGTTTAACTAAAGCTTTCACTCTCTTAATTAGGCCCTCCATCTGTATTAAAACCCTAAAGGCTTTGTACGACAATTCCATTCTTAGTAGCAGTCATCAGTGGTGCGCATCGCGAAAATTCCTAGGGAGGTTCGAATCCGTAATAGTCATGTTAGCCGTTGAACTCCGCACCATTCGACAAGGAGTGCACGATCAACAGTGCTTAGATGGGATATAGAGCAGTTGTCCTTCAGTCACAGGCATGGTCTTCGATTTGGCGGTTCACGCTACGGTCGCCGAACTGATGATGTATGCTGTTTGCTTCTCTCGGTGACAGATTTTGTGCAATCAGGAATCCTCTTACTGTTGGAATGTTTCCACTTTGCGCTAGGTTTCTCTCCGTTTTTCAGAGTCGGTTTAAAATGATTTACTCGATTTCGGACATTCTCACCCACATCATGGCAATAAATAAAGGGACTTCGATAACTACTGTGGCTGAAACCTTACAACACACTACGTCATGAACTTTTCCAGTCACTTCTAAGTCAGCCGTCGAGATATGTGCATGTATAGATTCTCAATAGTCTCTGTTGGTCCATCCACCTGATATGGATAGCACGGAGGAGCACTGGCGTGTAAAGTAAGCGGAATGCAGGGTTTGTCCATCGGTGTAGTCGGTGTGGTAATGAGATATGCAATGTGTTTTTGAAGAGAAATGACCCATCGTATCACTCACCTACCACCGGAAATGCCTTGCACGACCTTCTGTCCTACAGATTCCCTTTTACACAACGCTATGCTATGTTAAAGCGGCCCAGTTTAGTTGAAAACCATTTCTGACAAACAAGATTGCCTTGACAGTTGCCATCCCAGTATATGTGACATGGTTGGATATGGCCAGTCCATGGTGAATAGCACTCTAGTTTAACAACCGTAGAACTTAGTGCGCATTTCTTCCCCTCTTATCGTCGATGACCCTCACAACGGTACCCACTAAGCCGTTCGCAGGTACATATTTGGCAAAATGATGTCTTCGTTATCGGAGTGGTCGGGGTGAAAATGATTTTCAGTCCAGTCTGTTATCATAACTAGGGCTTCGTCTTGTAGTCTACGACGATTGTATGTCATTTAAGTTCAGCGTAAATCCTACACTAATTGGTCTTTTCCGTGCTAAAGGAGCCTTTGCTGCCACTAACCGCTCTAATCCGTTTTGTATTTTTCTATCTATTAGGACTCATCAACTGCTGTGGTTGGCTCCTTTGGTCATTGTTCTGCGACCGAAAACAACAAGCATACGTTCTTAATTGTCGGGTTTCGATTCTGTGTTTGATGATTTCTATGTCGTTGGAGCTATGGGATTTCCCCCCAGTCGGGTGGGTTCTCGACGCACATGCTTTATGGCATGCCTCCTCGATCGTGGTAGCTGTGACCTGGTACCGGTGAGTGGCATGTCTGGTGCTCGGTCCTCTGATTCTTCTGATTTCAATAGGTTATCTGGCAGGCTTTATTAGTGGTCCTTGATGCTTTCTCTGGGGGATTCCGCTAGTGTGTGTTGTGACTTTCCGCACTACCAATCGTACTCTACATGTGCGAGTCATGCATCAAGTTGTGCTTGGTTGTTTTTTATCTGATGAGTATGTTGCACTGAAGAGGCACAGCTTTTTTATACGTAGATTATAACTACGGATGTGCATGGGAGGTTTTCTCTTGATCAAAAGCTTAAGCTAGTTTGTGGCAATCGTCCTGGTTACTCATGGTTGGGCTCGTGACTACTTCCATATTTTAATATACCCCCTGTTCGGTACCACTCCTCAACAGTCGCTGTTTCACTTACGTCAACTGCCTAAACCGCTGTGGGCAACGCTACTAGACTAAATATACGGACAAAACTACATTCGTTTCTTATTGACTGTGGACTTGCTTACCAGTGAAGTGCTCCGTAATAATTTGATGTATAGGTTGACAACCAAACCTGTCGATTTTGTGGCTGGACAACACTGATTAGAACGATTTACTAGGAACTGCCCATGTTCATGTAACTACTCGAGTGACTTTGAGAGCCGTCAGATTGTTCGGTAGTTCAACTACAGAAGGGCGAGAAACTATATCACTCTTAGACATGTTCGTCGAACTTGGGTTTTGACTTGGATAAACAAGCAAATGCCGTCTAGCGATGTAGCCGTTCAGATTGGACGGCCCCAATATATACTGTATGTGGGGGCGAGATGGACCAAGTGGTTAGAGCGCGAATTTACTGAGCGGAAGGTCCGTGGTTCGAACCCGACCTCTGCCACTCGACTTCCCCCGTCTAGGCTTGGGCAACCTGGCAGTATCCCAGCCCTCGTGCTTCCTTCGTGTGGCATGGCAGCTAGGCGCCGAAAGGGTGCTACAGCTGGACGATTTTTTTTACTGTATGTCGGGCTTGAGTGCTGAAATGGTCCTGCTGGCTAAGGTGACTGAAACATCGTCCTTTAAGCTGCAACCATGCAAGTTAATTACATGAGCAACAACTGTCTCTGACGTTACGAGTAATCTTACGAGGTTGTACGGCGATAAGTTCGTACTTTCCGCGACAAGCGTATGAAGGCAGCGAAACGTTTCTTCCAAACCACCGGTGTTTATATATTTACCGAAGAAACGATATTGCCTTCCTCGCGGAGGGATAGGTTAGAAAAGGTTCGTCTCGTACGCTCCGGTCAGCCAACCTTAACGCTAGTGTGTTCTTCAGTGCGACCGAAATACCTTGGAAAACAAGGATATGCCGCTGATCGAAAAGCTCGTGTCGAATGCGTAAGCTTTATGAACTGGTTCATATACTCGAGCTAGGCAGCCTTGCACATTAAAGCGGATGGAGCTATACATTCGTTCGCCCCGGATAGAGCCCTCTGAGAAGACTAACCGGCCAATTTTTGGAGCAGTCGGTTCACAGACTTGTCAGGTTCCGGAAACTATACTCTCCTCTATCCCGCTTTCATGTAAGTTAGACTTTTGAGTCAAGAGTTCAAAGTGGAACACCTCAACAAATTTCCTTCCTCAGCTTGCGATCCCAACAACTAATGTCCGCACTGTTCCTTTTATTTATCGGTCTCAGCGTAATTACCACCCGTGACAGTACTATCTCATCTGTTTGTAACTGTAAATTCGGCGTCCACTCCACAAAAATAGAAAAAGCTGAACACACGCTACTAAAGATAAAAAATCCGTTAGATGTAGCAGAATTTGATGTAAGATGGATCATCAGACCCCTTCTGTTTATAGTTTTCCTTCCAAAACTCGATGCGTTATGTACGTATACGAGATCTTGCCACGGCTGTGAATCTGAATGTGATCCCGAACTACTGAGCTTCTCCACTTTCTATTCTCTTAGTGTCGGTCGATCCAGAATCGGTTCTTTGTGGTAACATTAATGTGAGTATTGCTCTTAGTAAGACGCTTTTCTTCGCCGTATTCCTGTGAACAGCCGGCTGCTTGCAACCGAATGGGCTAGGTTTATCAGAATCTGCAACCAACAAATCAAAGCCCGAAATCTGTACGTTATCCGGCATGCACTCCAGCACATTGCGGCAGGAACACTGTCAAAGACACGCTTACGGGAATATCTACACACTTGTGGATGACACACACAATTTCGTTATCCTGGTTGACGATTTGAATGTCCTAGTGGGAATGATCAACGGGCATGGAAGTCGTCTCGGTACTATACGCTGATCACCAGCTACTGGTCGGGATCAAGAACTTCCAACCACGTGAGCATCATACTACCTGGAGCCCTCTCAGCTGTAACTAGTCGAGCGCTCAGACTCATCACCTAGCATTTGGCTGTATATGTATGCATGTGTTTAAGACTGTCGCTCCTATTTGGAACACATGTACGAATTCAGGTAATGCCCCGATTTGAGACCCTTGTGCAGTCCGTTTCTCTGCGAACAAGAGGAAACCAGTGGAACTTTTACTACATCTGACCGTTAGTCCCAAAATAAAGTCCAATTCAAGTCAGATTTCACAGCGATCCGTTTTCGTGGTTGAGACAAGGAAGAAGTCTCATCGGGCCGACAGACGACCCGGGAAAGATACTTCACTTAAAGTCTCAAGACTGATTCAGAGAACTGGCGGTTAGGGAAACCCAAATCAATGAGAGGAACTTGAGCGATTTGAAGTAATCGAACATTTTCCAATCTTTTTCGCAGCACCGGACCAAAAACTGCTTGTCAGTAAATTCATCGCAGAGAAAGATGCCTCGAAGACCCATTCTAGACTCTATCATCCGTTTAAGCGCATGTCTGCTGTCGTTCGTGATGGACCTGAATATGAGAATCATCAGAGTATCACTCCAGTCACTGTTTCCTATAAATTCTCGACAGGTGTCGTTCTACGTAGAGGTACCAGAATTCACACACAGTATAGATCAGTAGGTACGTTGACCATGCCAACACTTTGCGACAACTTCTAGAACGCTGCCACAGCGACGAAAGATCAACAGCCATTTTCTTCCTAGATCTAAGCAGGTGAGTTGATCACGCTACTGTAAATGTGTTCCGGACATCACGTTTCTCCAGTCCCTATACTCCAGCACCCATGGAAGTTTAAAAGTCTACGTAAAGTCTTCTGATTCCATCAACTGCCCGTCAGTAATATCCTTCATCATCTCTTAAGTCTCACAGTCAAACTGGTTTGTGAGGAAGCGCTCGCGATATATTCTCACCCAGGTGTGTAACTTCTTTCCGGGAAACCAGGAATATACGGACGATATCAATCTACTTCCTCCGTAATTAGTCCAGGCACAGAATTCGCCGTACGATTTAGTCTGCGCTTGGTACCTTCAAAGTATGGAACGCTATTGAGAAATTGAGAAGAGCGGGGAAACACATCGGGACCGTTCAATCAAGTGGACAGACTTACTTATTTGGAAAGACAGATGACAACGTTATCGATGAAGTGAGGATCACTAAGCATGCTACCTTTTTCAAATGGAGCACCTGTGGGATCGAAATGACTTTAATCTGGGAAAGAAAGACAGGATCTACACCGCAACAGTGCTTCACAGTCTTGAAGCCTGTCTACCGTGCTTGAAGACAGCAGTTGGTGAATTCAGAGTATTGGACATGGGAAAATCAGGTGAACAATGCTGAAGTGCGACAATTGGTTTTTGGCAGCAAACCAACTGCTTGTCCAGTTGGCGAGCTACTTCGGCAGATCAGCCGCTTTAACCCAACGAATGCTGTCGGATGTTCCGGCTGGAACATACAACAAGCCGGACAGTGCACCACCTAGTGATAGACCATGAAAAGCGTAACTGTGACTCAGCCGCATTTGTGTTTACTTGATTGCAATACCAGAGAGCTATCACATCGGTGGTTCAAGGCGCTCATCAACATTATGTTTTGTAACCAGTCGTTCCGTTCTATCTTCTTTCCTATTTCCAGTCATTAGCCTGTATTTTCTTGTTTCTATGTGCTTTCCGTACCAGCTGTCCACGTCCTACACTATCCGCTATCATAAACTGCAGTGACCCGAGCTACCGTACCTTCATGCCTGGTTCGCTGTTGTCAAAATGAACTGAGCTGATCCGGTGTTTTTTATGATGACAAGCTTTGAACAGCAAAGCACTCTGGTACAGAAAGTGTTTGTATTTGGCCTAGATCCGCTTCCCGCTGGACATACTATACTTAGGGGTACATTTTTGGAGCATTGTGGCGCACCTCCTCTTTAGCTGTTTTCCCAAATAGAACCGCCAGTTTCTTACTCAGACTAGTTTTTTAGGGTGTGTACCACATATCGGGAGATTCGTGATTCGAACCCCTTCTTGACTTTTCGATTGCCCATCTTACAGTTTGGGTGCATTTACATTACTTCATTTCCTACGACAGTTTGGCGCCGTAAGGGCGCTGCAGATAGAGGGTCTGATTTTCATCTTGAACAACGTTTGCGAGGTGTACTTCCCATTTGATTTAACATGTAACCGATCTCTTTTTGATTAATGTCGCTTCTATCTCAGTCATAAAACTTGGTCTCCATACATGGCTTAGTTCCCAATCTTTCGCTCGAGTAAGTGAATGGGCGTGCTTGGAGGGAGAGACAACGATGGAATCTGTCACGCTCACTAGTGTGCTAGCCACCGAATTCAGCTTAATTAGAGCTGTTGGTCATTCGGATCCACATATAATATTTTTTGGAAACCCATTTACCCAGATACCTGGATATCGTTCTGCGCGACTGATGGACCATACTTAGGTATCTAATGAAAGTACTGATTGAAATAGATTGTGTCCCAAAAGAGAATTAAATTCCTTCAAATACTCCAAAATCAGTCTCCTGACTTAACTTTCTAAATACTGTCGTGATCCATCGTAAACTCCGGAATTGTCTTGGGTGTCATGTATGACATTCACTTGAAACTGGCTTATTGTTAATTTGTTGTTGCACGCTGTATGTCATGAATTCATACCAGGAAGAATATTGTAGTGGGAATTCTGAATGGCTCGTGTTCATTGACCAGTCGAACCACAGGAAAATGAATAAGTTATGTGAAGGAGCAGCGGTCCACTGGAAAATATTTGAGATTGATTGGGTTGTCATCGTTTCAGAGAGGTTTGGTAAGCAGTTCACCGATTGCGTACCAAACCATTTGTTTTGGTTTTACAGTACTAGTTCCAATTGATGTGTCAGCAGTGGTCTGGTTGTTCATACCAAACTCAACCTGTGAGAGTGTTGTGAGTTCTGTTAGGATTATTGTTGCGTATGAATTTCCCAGTGAGCTGAACGAAAATTTACCTGTCCTTTCCAATTTCAGGTTCGTCAGGGCTGACTGTTTATTTCAGCAACATCAGAAGAAGGCGTTTTAGCCCATTACCCGTTTCCCGTAGACTGACGCTTTGTGTTGTATAAAGTTATTAGGTTTCCCATTAGCTTCATTCTAATTCCCGGTCTTATATCTTATATTCCTGTAAATTTGCCTTGTTCCCGAACTAACTGGATGCATATTGCCACGGAAGTACACTGTCTTTCAGCGGTCATTTCAAGCTACCTTATTATACTATTTGTCCCTGTTCTCAGCGTGTTCTGATAGCGTGTGGTCGGTTTCTTGTCCTCACATCACTGCGTGAATTGATATTGTGTGCGTACAGCAACCTCCCAGTACCCAATACACCTCGGGGGAAGTGGCATTGTCGAGCCTAAATATTACTGCAACATAGTCGAAGTAGGCAAGAAATGTACCGCGAGAAGCGGTTACCGACAAAGTTAGGAGGCTTTTTGAATAGTATTTGAGATATTCACATTTGAACGCAGTTAGATTCTAACACCACTATCCATAAGTAACCACACGCATCAGAATATGAGCACAGCAGGTTGCTCATTGTTGGCGGGATTGTCAACTGGTCCGTGCATATTGAAGCACAGGACCAAGTAGGCAAGTCCACTCGGCTGGTTTACTGCCAATACTGCGTGCGCAACAAATGTGTGATCAGTTTGATGAGTTCAAATCACAAGGGACTCCTTGACTCTCACTATGCTGGTTCACTGGATGATGGTGTTGACTGTTCAAGGAATGATTTCCGTGTTTCTTTCTCGTGACGGGATGTAGTTGGGTACGCTTTGCTATCGGGACACTGCAGGGCTGGGCTGGTTATAACCGTCGCTTCTGGCGAAAAGCCTTCAGCCGGTACCTGTAATGCTGATGTTTAGGTGGGAATGTTCCGCTCTCAGAGAATCAATCAAATTCATGTTTGAGCTGAATGAGACACTGTAACTCTGCATTCCTCGTACTGTGGTCACATTGTTTATGTTCGGTGGATATTTAGGTGTACTCGGCTCCCATACACTACTCATCTCAGTGAATAATGCACTTCTTCCCCAACTCGCTCAGCACCCTCTTGGTCTGTCAAGATTGTCGTTGGTATTGGGTATTCACTCAGCTACGTACGAATAAGTGAATGGGATATTCGAGTAAACTTCCCGTTTTTGTTCTCTGATTGAGTATGCATGATTCAGTTGGACGGATATTCAGTATGTAAGAATTCCGCTTCAGGAGCAATACTTTCAAAGTTGTTGCCAACCGATTTTGCAGCGGATGTATGGATTTCGGTTTTCGGAGATACACTAATGTGCCGAATTATTAAATATAGTATTCAGCAATCCGCCTTTTTAGTTGAGAACGTGGAAGAGTCAACCGTGACAAGATTTTCGAAGTATCCCCTGGTGAACGGGTGATCAAGAGGGACATCGCTTAATTGAGGGAACCACAGCACTCCCTCCTGTGGAGACACTTTGGGACCTCAGTTATCAACCGCGCTGACTTGATTTGGGTAAATTGTATTTGAGGGTTTTTCAACTGTGTGCTTCGTGTGCCCCCTACTTTACACACGTGGGAGGCATACTGTAACGTACCACTTTGGTCAACTTTAATTAAGTTTCACATGAGATTCGTCATTGCAGGTGAATTGTATTTGTGTTAGCTTTTCGGACTCAAGAGTTATGAGCATAGGAAAAGGTCGTATTCTGCAACACCAGCACTACTCATAAGCGCCTTGAGGTCGGTCAGATCATTTGATAATCAAGTATGAACCAGTTTGTTTCCATTGGCACATACTCATTCTGAACGTATGTCAAAACTATTTACGTACGAATATTGTTTTGGACCTTATTTCTTTCGCGGAATGATACGATATATGCCGAATCTCATCCACTCAAGTTTTTAAGCTCTTGTCAGTGTGTGGCGGAATACAGCTTACAAGGTTTGTTGGGCTCATACTCCGTCTGAGGGGTTATATTATCGAATACTTTTATAGAGTAGTGTTTGTCGCCGTAACCCTCATCGAAGTCGGACGAAGAACCAACATTACATACAATGTGCCAGGGGCATTACATTGTTAGAACAGGGACAACAAAAGCAGCTTCCAGAAAATGAGCATGATGCCAGATAGGAATCCGCTGAATGTTGAAGGCAGTCTAGATCTGTTCGGGTCGTCGGAGCCCGATACCATTATCATCATCAACTCTAAACACTGTGTATGCTCTAGCTGCTGCAGACAAGTTTAGGAATGGCAGTGGATAGCTGCGTATTTACGAGTGAATCCAGGAATAGCAGTGGATTTTTTGTTGGTGGGAAGGCGAGAGGTTATAATGCATGGGCGTCATTGAGTGTGTGACCAAGCTATGTCCACCAATATCTAAACACGGTATACTGCGTCATCGTTCCCATTCAAAGACTGCAATGACCAACGCAGTAGAGTTTATTGGTAATGGCTAATTCATAGCCTGACCTCCTATGGCTCGTTTCGACTTTGCGAAGAAAGCCATTTGAGGAAGTTGGCCCATTGTTATACGAATCATGTGGCCGAATTGGATCAATTTGTGGAGTGTCATCAGCTCATCTATCGTATGTGACTCTGTTCTGTTCGTTGCACGCCAGCAACGTATTATTCCCACATGACTTGGGCAATGCTCCGAGTATGATGGTCAAACGGGGCAAGGTTTTCATTCTTCACATTTTTGTAGTGACGTTTTCTAATATGGGATGAACTGCGGATTTGTGCACTTAACCTGTGACATACAAGCCGATTTCACGTCTGTGCCAGGTTGGCAGTGTATTCGACTGCGATCACATCGTAGGGAAACACTGGGCATCCTGTTTCTTGAAGTTTGTTGGCAATCGCGATTTAAGCTGCCATTCGGTCGATCTCTTCTGTGCACAGCGGTCTGACTCGACGAATGTGTGACAGTATGAGACAGTAGTGGCGTACACGGACTTTAGATCTGCTGATGAATAGCTCAATACGTTTCCTGTGTCTTTTGGTTTCTGGCAGATAGTATTTTTCAATTTCCCACCAATCTTATGTGTTATACAGTCCAGAAAGGGTAATGTGCCCGAGGTGGACTCTATTTTCATGCTAAACTTGATGTGTGGGTTTAAACTATTGAGATAATCGTGGAAGCTGTTCACATTATCTCGTTTGATTACAACAAAGGTGTCGTCAAAATAACGCCAAAAAACTTTGGGTGGACAATGATATCCGGTCAAGGCTATTATTTCGAAATTCTTCATATAAAAAGCTAAAACTGGGGATATTGGAAATCCCATTGCAAGGTATGCAGTATCTTTCTTTATATCGTCTTTCCGTTGTTAACAGTAGCAAACCTCGAGTATGGGATTATACAACACGTGACATGGTAATCATTGACTGTATTATAAGTGCCATCAATTGGCCGAATATATGTTTTATCTTTTAGTCTTCGTTTCACTTCATATGGTTGAGGGACAAATTTATCGTTGATGATGATAGAGGTTGTTGACGTGGTAGGTTTGTGTCTGTCTTAATTTGCGGCTCTCTAAAAACGAGGTTTTGTAACTAGTCAGAGCGACTGAACACGTCTGACCTCCACCGAGTGCATCTGTAGCCGTAAGATGAACTTGCGAAAACTGCGTGTCGATACCAACTTTGTTGATAAGACGAACTTCTTCCAGCAGTCTTCTGAGGAAAAAACTCAGCCGTTTTAAAGGACTCACTGCTGGGAGGGGTAGAATGTTTGGAGTGTATTTGGAATAGCAGAAAACTGACCCTCCTACTCGAGTTTACGATGTTTTCTGATGGATTAGAGTTGTAGACAGTGGATGTGTTTCTTCATGTTGCTCCATGTGCAGACATTACTTCCGATGAACCATTACCTTAGTTACGCAATGGGTAGGTTTCCTGAACATGTGTAAATCAAGAATAATACGTCCAGCACTGGTGGTAAAAGTAAGAAGTGACTGTTCGTCTAGGGTCTTGGGTCAGGAAGTAGCTGCAAGTGGCTGTTACAAGTCAACCTGCCGAGTAGCGCCTGATAAATGGATGATATTTAATCTATCTAAAAATTGAGAACGTTGTTTGTCAGAGGAGAAATCCCAGCAGATTGAGGCGATTCGTAACCAGCTTCACAGCGCTCAGCATTTTTCTAGAAATATCTCACTACAGTGGAAGATATTTACTGAAGATCTGACACTTGATTTTTTGAAGGGATCAGCGAACCAAGAAAATTGATCGATTATCGTACAACACCAAATTTCATCGGTCAGTGTCTCTTTTCGATTCAGCGTGGCTTAAAACGTGATAATAACTTTCGGGCTAATGAGGAACCTTCATATTATTCCCAAATTGTTGAAAATGAGAGGACAGTGCCCATAGATGATGGGAGACGTATGAAGCAGGGGTTTACGACGAGGCCAACAATGCCCCACGGGGGCGTCTCGAAAGTTTTCCTGAGCAGTGGGTGGGCACATCAGGTGATGGTCGGCATCACTATCACCATCACAGCAGGTTTGTGTAATAAAAAATTGGAGTCGTTTCAGTCTGTTTGGAAGTGTTTTGTATTTCATTGAGGTGGAAGTGTGATATTAATGTGAAATTAATTCGAAAATTTTCGATCAAGTGGGACAATCTGGGCTTATAATAGTTGAAGAGTGGAGCCAGTAGAGTTTGGAATACCCTTGGTTTGCGCATGACTGAGACTATACAATGAGTGGCGGAAATCCAGATAAGCTTTCGTCCTCTGGCAATTTGGGGCAGAACACAAACTTTTGTAAATCGGTTTCTTCACCGATTACTTACAAACGTTAACTTTTGTTTAGTAATCTCTCACCCTACTTACTGGTTAGATTTATCTTCATACGGTAATGAGACATTTGTAGCTCGTCTTTGTCCTTAGATCGGTATAAGATGGACCTTCATTTTTGCGGACATAACAAGCTACTCACAAGGTTGCTGAAAAATCTTAGACAGCTCAGGATCAGTTTCGCCTTTCTTGTGACCACTCAAGTAGGCCCCGAGTTTCAGTCAATCTTATATCCTAATTAAATTGCATGAAATTCGGCAAATACACTCATATGCATGCCAAGTTGGTTTTAACGGGAGACTATGATGTTCTTCCTATGAGTAGTGTGTTACGTCTATATGGCGTATTGCGACATATACGCATCGTACTGAAATATGTAGCGGCCAGGTGCAGCATATTCAGTTAAAGAAGAAGATCACAAACGAGGGATTCAGTTGAGCCTTAGTTTCGTTT